GCTGAAGATCCTCGGAAAGAATTTCTACCGGAAACAAACAAACAAGCAGATACGTAACAAGTATCATTTATTCCCGACGTGTCTTCATATAAGTGAAGAAAAAAGTTAGTTTCTGTTCAATATGTAGGCTGTTACGTATTAGAATTTCAAATGGTCTGAAACTGAGTTACATGATACTTTAAACTGAGTATTTAAATTGTACTTTGGATCCAGCAGTTAAATAAAAGTCGATATGTAGTCAGTTTATGATATTTGCCAACAAGATTGATACACACAGTTTTCTTTTATTTAACACAAATATGTTTTAATATACACACAACAATACAATTTACGATACCAGTTATTGCAAATAGTTATTACACACAACGATTTATATACAAAAGTTTCACAAACTTACAAGCAATATAAAGTCTTCTTTCTAGTCACGAACTTTTCGATATCTTATCGAGGGTTCACGATGAGCGAGTTGATTACGAGTTGACGTAGGTACAATTCACTTAATAGTGAGCTAGCTAGCTTTGTCTTTCGTTATTCACCAGCCACACACGCCGAGTTTTCAACGATGAAGTTATATAATGTTTTCGTAAAAACACTAATGTCCGATGAGAATCCACTGAAGTTAAATGATTTCTAATGTTCGAACTTTGTTAATTCTTCTGGTCAAATATCTGAAGTTTTCTGTTTGATAAACGTTATAACAATTACAGTTATAGCTTCCGAAGTTTATAGCACACCGACTCTAGCAAACTAATAATAGATAGTACATTTTTGGCGCGTCGTGTTGGTTATATTTATAGGCGTGTGGATAGTTTCTAGAAAATTCAGATTATGTAACAATACAGAGCTACACTAGCATTTACGTACACACATATATTGTTGATTCTTACACTCTAGAATCTTCTACAACTTTAAAGAAAAGTCGGGAGTTTCGCAATATATATTTAACACTATAAACTATATATGTTTCTAAATATAAATTTAATCTAAACAAACGTCGATATTAAAATAAATATATAATAATAAATCCGTTACAAGGCATCTTTATGTACAGTTTTGAGTGTTCTGAACAAGACTGTTGTTCTTAACACATCTTATAAGTGGTTTAGCATGTATAAGATGCGTGGTTTAGCACTAGTTTTAAACATTATGTTGAATATGTAACTAAGGTACGTTTATGTATAGTTTTAAACGTTCTGAAGGACCTTAATGTTCTGATCATATCTCAGGTGTTGTTTGGTACTAAGTTTAAACATTTCATTGAGTCTGTAGCTAAAGTATGTTGGTGTACAATATTTTAAACATTTTGTTGAGTCTGTAACTAAAGTATGTTTATGTACAGCATTTTAAGCGTTTTGTAGGACCTTGGCGTTTTGAACATATTTTATGTGTGTTTTGGTCGTAGTTTTTAATACTTGCTTAAAGTCTTATACTATTAAATTACATAGTGGCTTTTGATCAAAAGTAGGTTAACTACGTAGATAGATCAGAACCAAAAATTAAGTTACAGATGAATGAAACTAATTATACACAACAAACAGGTTAGAAGTGCGTAATATCGTAAATCAATATACAAGAAAAACTAAAATCTATAATGCTTCTCAGAATTTTTTTTCTAGAGATATGGAAAATACAAAAATAACCTTTGTATTCGTGGTCATCCATTTTCTCTTCGGGATGTCACGCTTAAATATTAATAAGAGTAAAACTCTTTAAGGAAAGGTATCGACAATGTTGGAATATCCATAACACGATGTCTACATTTCAGTTTCACTGTTCAAAATGTCAAGAAGTTCAGAGTAATCGCGCTATAAATTTTTTACGCCTAGTTCGTCGTACTTATGTCCTTGATGATTGAGTATACTTGTGTTACCTTGAAACACCATTCTTTTATTGTCACAAACAGAGAAAAACAAATGAAGAAGAATATGTTTCTGAAAATACAAGTTAAGTGCAGCTTGAAAACTACAATTATTCTTAAAAACACAACTTTTACACACAGTAGTGAGGGGTGTAAATATCTCGTTTGATACAATAACAGGTTATTCTTTAAGAACTTGAATGGACAGTAAGTACGCAAGGTACATGGTATACCACCATTTAATTATATGTGTGCTGCATGTGCCAGTAAAGTTCAGGTACCCACGTGTTTAAAACACATATACAGTGTATGCGGTACAGAACGTCCAAATACGTCATTACCACATGTGAAATTACCAATAACTTACAAATTTTGGATTTTTCATTTCTACCTTTCCATCAGCGGAATGATCTTTAAGAAAACGTTTTTGATCTATCGACTGACTTAGAGATTTATCATGGTTTGTTGGTAGAGACTTTGTCCTGAAGCATCATGCGTCACTTTTCGATAACGCTCGTCTTTTCTGATAGCTTTGGTTATATAAAAACAGCTAAGCAATTATTTACCATGCATGATTTGCACTAGATTTACATAAATAAGTGAAAGTGGTACGCAGAGCAAATGCAATATTTCACCCGATTTAACAAAACATTGTTTCTTGATCAGCCAAATGCAGGAATAAACAAGCGTAGCGCTTACGGGCGTTTACTACATGGAGTTGAATAAGTGATACGGTCGGTCTGTTAGCCTCTCAGCTTCTAGATCAGAGTTCGGTAATAACAGCCGCGGCGAGGATTGACATTTGGCCCAAGGGAAAGCAGCTATAAACTCACCACATTCCCCCCTTTAACTATGCCGACAATTATGACCTTTGTTTTCTTACATTTAACTACATACATCAACTAGACTGAGGCTAAACTCATTCATTTAAAACACTGATGATACATTATTATTTACTCCTACATGCAATTTGTAACGAGTGTAAGTAAGCACACGCCTTTTCTCCTTAAAACTCCTTACAGTTGCCCTTGTGTTTGTAATTACAACGGGCGTAGGTAGTATGATTTTAAAAGAGGAAGCTGTATTATCTCTCTCACGTGATAGCGAATCTACACTTTTATCAGTTCGCTTTACTAATACTGTAGAGACAACAAATAATATCAGGAAAATTCCTGATACTCACTCTAAGAGGGTTAACTGTCAGCAACAATCTCTCATTGATATTTTGAGTACAATCTGTTTATTTTTGCACAAAACTCTCAAATTTCACATTATATATAACGTAACAACGATTTTTATTGCTCATAGTTCTTATATTTGTTTAAAAAGTACATTAATAAATTAACCATAAATTGTATAAACTTTGTTACCTGTCATATTTTTAACTGCCGAGTTTCTGAAGCTCAGTTCCTTATTGTTTAAATCCGACATGTAGACAGATAGATGAGAAAGAGGTGAACGGAATGGCAGGGGACATAAAATGACATCTTAAGACAAAGTTTTTCAGTAACGTATTTTAAACTTTCACCGTACACTAAGATACGGTACATGTTTGAATAATAGTGCCTATTGTTTTATAAAATTACATAGTTAGACAGAGTTTTTCAGTAACACATCTTAAAGTTTCACCGTACACTAAAATACAGTACATGTTTGAATAATAGTGCCTATTGTTTTATAGGGTCAGATATTTTAACGATATTGGTTACGGTGACAAAACGGTTTAATCTTTGACTTATAATTAAACATAAATAATTTTTTTTAATGAATATTACATTCCTTTCTATTCATTACCTCGAAAATGTTGCGTCATAAGAAACCTCGACCGAGTTTGATAAAACTAAAGAAAATCAATATATGCGTGTATTACAAATAAATAATAAAATGAAACAAACCATGTCTTATTCCTATGAATAATATCGGTCAGAATTTCTAGCCTTGTTTAGAGTCATTTATCAAAACCAGGAAAGCTGGTACTTTTAGACGATTATGAAAACAAAATACTAAGTAGATATTGTTAGTTTATTTCTACAATTAACTGATATAATTTTTCTTTCTACTCGTATGATAACTATGTAGTATAAATCTTGTGACCGACTTTATCTAGCCTCTTAGCACCAACCAAAAATAAAACTGGTTTTCTTGTTTAATGGTGACCTCAGGTAAAAGTTCTTTCTTCCGCGCGCACTGTATGGCTTTCTTATTTCCATCTTCTAAAATTCTTGATCCTCTCATAGGTGCTGATGATGGGGAAAGTCTGAAAACAGACAATAAAAAAGAAAAACTGAAAGTCTATCTGCACAACGTAAGCTATTTTAGCAACAACAACCGTTCCGGATCTTGATTTAGAAACAAATTTAACTTTTTTAATTGATCAGTTAGTATCATGTTATGATATTGTAAACTTATGAGATAAAATTTCAGTTTCTCCTGATATGTAAAATTTTGCTTGTTTTTTACTTTTTTTTTCTCTTAAAGCTCTGATTTCTTCCTTAAACCAAACAGTAAGTTGTTTTTGAAAATTGCACATTTTACATGGTGATTTGTCTGCTTTATCTATAAAAGAAAGCTATACCTTGAACCATATTCTCTACCTTTCATATTCAACAAAAGAAGACCTTAAAAAGGGTTTTGTTTTTATATGTTAGTTTTGTTATACAAGCTTTACCGCGGAAATCTTCAAAGCTATAACACAATATTAAATGGCAACATGACGTTAAAAGCTCTTTGAAACAAATAAATAAGTCATGAAGTAGCAATCTGCACGTTAGAAGTAAAATGTGATTTTAATACCTACCTTATCAGTTTAATTGAAATTACATTTGCAAGATGTTTTATACTTTTTATTGGCTATATCTCATTTCATTAGGCGCTCAAACGATCTTCGGTTACTTACCACATTGAAGAAACCTAAACATATCAAGATACACCGCTTGGCCTTTAGACGTTAATTGGTGCTTTTCACTTAGGTCTGAACGGTCCAATTTTAAAGTTAACTGACTGATTTCTTTACTCAAGATAGCAAAAATCCACGAACAAAAGTAGAATTTAGTTTTTTGACCACTGCAGAAAACTGTTTAGGAAATTGACTGCATATTTTTGTTATTGGCCCGTAATAAAACCGTCTTGTTTGTAGGAACGCTAGTATTCGAAAGAACAGGATTGATTCACTTTCATATTTGTAAAGATCGTGAGTATTGGTTGATATGAAAGTCACCACTTAACGTCTAAAACAACAATATGTTGTGACGTATTTTAACCTACGAACAATAATCATGCTCTAGGAAGACAGAAATGAAAAATGTTATTTTCTTAATGTCTTTCGGTTAAGGACGGGTGTTTGGTTGGTTGGTTGAAGTTAAGCACAACACTACAGAATAGGTTATCTGTGCTCTGCCCACCACAGGTTTTTAGCGTTATAAGTCCGCAGACATACCGTTTTGCCACTGGGGGCGGGGGGGGGGGGTATTGGTGTTTGTGCACCAGGGAAGTGCTTCTACTTATTAAGCCTTACAAAGTGGAATACTGTTTTTGCCTTTGTGCTTGTGGGTTAAACAATGGTACGTGTATTATAAAAGTGACATATAACTATTAAATTTTACAGAAAGGAATGCTGTTTTTCTTTTAGTGTCTGTGAGTTAGGGATTGAAGCGTGTATCACAAAAGTGTCATCTAGTCACTAATTTTACGAAAAGGAATACTGGCTGCGGATTAGGGATTGGTGTGTGTCTAGCATGGCAGTGACTCCTACTTACTGAATATTAAGGAGATTATGCAAATAAAGAATGTTTTTGTTTTAGTCTCTGTGTATATATATATATATATATCATAAAAGTAACTTCCAGCTACGAAATCCTACAGCGTGGAATATTGCTTGGTGTACATATGTGTGTGTCTTGGAAGTGACTTCTACCTACATTATGTTTCGAAAAGGAATACTTTTTTGTCATATTGTCTGTGGATTAGAGATAGGTATGTGTTTATCATGAAAGTGAGTTCTTCCTAATGAATGTTACGAAAATAAAGACTGTTTTCGTGTTAATGTCTGTAGATTAGGAATTTGCGTAAGTTTAGCATGGAAAAATCACTTTGATTTACTAAAATTTCGGAAAGAATACTTTTTTTTGTCTTACTGTGTGTGGGTTAATAATTGTTGTGTGCGTATAAAGGAAGTGACTTATACGCACTAAACTTTTCGGAAAATATACTTTTTTTCTCGTGATGTCTTTGGGTTAGGGATTGGTGTACGTATAACATGACATTTACTTTTACCTACTAAACCTTACAGAGTAGAAAACTATTTTTGTCTTAGGTCTTTCAGTTAGGGATTGTTGTTTGTGTATCAAGTAAGTGACTTCTACCTGCTGAATGTTTCGATAGGAATACCATTTTCTTCTCAGTATCGCCCCCCCCCCCCCCCCCAGTGGCACAGTGGTATGTCTGCGGACTTACCCGTGATGGGCAGAGTACAGTTAGCTCATTGTGTAGCTTTGTGATTAATAAAAACAAACAAACAATTTGTAGATGAGAAGATGGCAGACTTTGCAACTTGTAGATATGTATATGGTGAAAGACGTTAGGGATTCAATTTGTTTATTATAGAAGTGACTTCTACCTACTAAATTTTACGCAAAAAATACTATTTTTGTTTTAGTGTCTTGAGATAAAGGATTGATGTATCACGTAAGTGACTTCTTAGCTATTAAATTTTACGTTAATGAAGAACTGTTTTTGTATTATTGTCTCTGTGTTAAAGATTGGTGTGTGTTTATCATGGAAGTTACTTCCACTTACTAAACCTTACTCCCCCAGTTGCACAGCGATATGTCTGCGGCCTTACAAAGCTAAAAACCGGGTTTCGATACCTGTGGTTGGCAGAGCACAGATAGCCCATTGTGTAGCTTCAAACAAACAAAAAAAAATTAAACCTTTGAGAGTAGAATACTGTTTTAGTCTTAATGTCTGTGGTATATGGACTGGTGTGCGTGTATCAACGAAGTGACTTCTACATACTAAATTTTACATAGTTGTTTACTGTTTTTGTCGTAGTGTCTGTTAGTGTGCATATTATAGTAGTGGTTTTTCCCTACTACATTTTATGGGAATAAATTCTGATTCTGTATCACGTAATTGACTTCTACCTACTAAATGTTTCCATTAATGAAGAATGTTTTTGTCTTTGTGTTTGTGGGTTAGGGTTTCTAATTGTCGTTTGTTATAACCCGCGGACAGTACTTTGACTTTAAGTCACTTTGTAATGTTATTTGTTATCATTAAAATGTATTTAAAGCCTTTTTAGCACAGAGAATTTAGATGTTTAGAAGTTAATTAGAGTGGAAAATTTAGCGGCCCAAAATAGCCTGAGGTGATCCAATTTAAAGTTCAAGAATACAGACTATTTTTAAGTTAGTGTGCAGTTTAGCGACTGGTTGGTGTGTGTGTATCGAGGGCGTGGCTTCCAGCAAGTAAACTTTATAGAAAAGAAGACTGTTTTTGTCTTAGTGTGTGTGGAATAGGGAATGGTTTGTGCGTATTATAGAAGTTACCTGCAGATACTTTTAAACCTTATAGAGTGTAATAATGTTTTTATCTTTGTGTTTGTGTTTATGGGTTATGGATTGCTATGTGTGATCATGGAAGTGACTTCTACCTACTAAATTTTACCGAAAGGAATATTGTTTTTGTCTTAGCGTCTCTGGATTAGGGGTTAATGTGTGTGTGCATCAAGGTGTTACTTCCACCTACTGAACCTTACTGTCTTAGTGTTTGTGTGTTAGAGATTGGTATATGTGTATAATGGAAGTGACTTATACGCACTAGATTTTAGAGAAAAGGATGTTGTATTTGTCTTAGTAGTTGAGGAATAGAGATTGGTGTGTGTGTTTCATGGAAGTGGCTTCCTCTTACTAAACCTTACTAAGTTGAATATTGTGTTTGTCTTGGTGTCTGTCAGTTAGGTATTGGTGTGTGTGTGTATCATGAAAATGCCTTCTACCTACTAAATTTACGGAAGTGAAGAGTTCTTTTGTTTTTGTATCTGGAGGCTTAGGATTGGTGTGCGTTTATCATGGAAGTGATTTTTTACCTACTAAATTTTACGTGAAGGAATACTGCTTTTGTCTTAGTTTCTGTGGGTTTGCGATTAGTGTGTGTGAATCAAGCAAGCAACTTGCAGATATTAAACCTTACTGAGTAGAATACTGTTTTTGTGATAGTAGTGTCTGTGGTTTATAAATTAGAGTGTATTTATTGTGGTAGTGACTTCTAACTACTAAACCTTGCAGAGTGGAATAACGTTTTTATCTTAGTTTCTGTGGGTTAGGGATTTGTGCATGTTTCATGAAATTGACTTCTTCCTACCAAATGTTTTGGAAATAAAGACTGTTTTAGGCTTTGTGTCTGTGAGTTAAGAGTTGTAGTAGGTGTTTATCATGGAAGTGACTTCCAATTATTAATCTTTACTGAAACGTAGACTGTCTTTTTCTTAGTGTCTGAGGATTAGGGATTGCTATGTATAAAATCTCATACATATATGAGATATAGTGCTAGCAACTATGGCACATTTCAGTCATGGCTTAAGGATTCATTATTCATAATAATATTGTGTTAAAGTCATATAATATGTACTATATTTAGTATTGTAGTGTGATGATAGAGGAAGTGGGAAATTTAGAATTAAGCAAAATCAAGAGACATTTTGTTTTTATCATAGAAAAATTCCATTATTATTTCCGGATAAAAATCCTTTTTAAACTGAAGTTTCTTCTACATTTGAAAGTGAAACTTGCTAGATTAGATGGTGAAGGGCATGTCACGTTCATCAGCATCACAGTGTTACGCCGCGTGGTGGTGATTAGCACAGGACGTTCACTTACATGCAAAGTTGAACGAGTTCCATTCATGTACATGACTCTTTCTAGTCGGACCTAGCTAATTCCACAGTAACGACAGCAGGGGGCTAGAGATTACAAGCGTAAATCTTAAAATCTGTTGTCAACAAGGCAGGATGAAATGGATTTAAACGCCAACCCTGCGAAGAGCTCTGTTCGAAGGCGGCTATCGGCAGCCATCTTAATGACAGACATGGTGTTAAAGTCAGAGCTAAGATGGACTCCTTGTCTGAGTCAAATCTTATTGTTGTTTGGGATTTTCGACTCACCTGTCGAGAAACTGGTTCGGTATACCCCTGCTTTGTCCAGGAGTCAGCATGAAACCCAAGGGGTGACGGTGAATTTACCTTAACAATTGGTCAAAATA